TGTGCCTTAAGAAATCCACACATTGGACTTTGTAGACAACGACTTGGAATCTACCATTGTAAGTATGTTCAAAGAACTAAAAATAAATCATGTCACCAAATCGAGTGTATCAGTGAAGAAATAAAAATTACAAAAGAAAAAATACCAAAGCTACACAGACTTCCAGAAAATGGAAGAGGTGGGAATTCTTCCTAACTCATTCCACGAAGGTGACTTCCTCAGATACCAAACCAGACTAAGACATTACAAGAAAACAACAGACCCTATGCCTCATGAACAAAATGCAAAAAGTTCTAAATTAAATTTTAGAAAATCATGTTCACCAATTTATAAAAATGGTAACATACCATGATTACATAGGGTTTCTCCTAAGAATGAAAGGTTAGTTTAAATTTGAAAACCAGTGTAATTTACCATACTAACAAATTATTAAAAAAAAATCATGTGATTATCTTAATAGATACAGAAAGAGCATCTGACAAAAATCCAACATCCATTCCTGATACAAATTCTCAGCAAACTGGGAAATGAAATTAACCACCTGATAAAAGAGATTTATAAAAAAGATCTATGATAATATCATACTTGATGGTGAGAGACTAAATGTTTTCCCACTCATTACCCATAAGATCATGAAGAAGGTAACACTATGTATTCTCATCATTTCTATTTGATACTGTAACACTGTACTGGAGATTTAGCCTATGCTATAAGGCAAAAATATAAGAATAAAAATAAAAATAAAAGGCATTCAATTTGGAAAGGAAGAAATTAAACTTGTTTTCTATTTGCTTGAATGTCTATGTAGAGAATCTAGTAAAATATACTAAAAAGCTACTAAAACTAAAAAGACATTAAGATGGCATGATACAAGTTCAACATCCAACAGTCAATGGTATTTCTATAAATGAGCAACAAACAATTATAAACTGATACTGGAAAACAGTATCATTTACATATGAAATACTCAGGAATAAATGAGCCAAACGTGTAGAACTTATACCCTAAAAACTGAAAAAAAAAAAAAAAAAAAAGAAAAAGAAAAACAAAACAAAACACAAACCAGGGCTGCAAGAAATTGAAGGAGACCTCAATAAATGAAGAAATATATCACGTTAAATGAGTCAGATTACTGAACACTGTTAACATGTCAGTTCCTCCCCAGACTGATCTGTGGATTCAAGGCAATGCCAATTGGAGCTCTAGAAGGCTGTTATGAAGCTTATTCTAAAATTCATGCAGACTTAAAAAGGACCTTGGATAGCTAAACCAACATTAAAAAATGACAAAGTTGGAGGAACAATAATACCTAATTCCAAAACATACTATAAGGCTGTAGTAATCAAGATGGTGTGTTATTGATGTAAAGACAGAAAAGGAGAGCAATGGGTCAGAACAGAGTGTCTGGAAACAAATCCACACATATACTGACAACTGATTTGACAACAAAAGTGCACAAGGGCCATTCATCTGAGGCAGGATTGTTTTTTCAACAAATGGTACTGGAACAACCAGATACACAAATGTAAAACAAAACAAAATAAACCCTCTGATCCAAACCTCACACCATATAAAAAAATTAACGCAAAACCGATCACAGACTCAAACATAAAACCTGAAATTATAAAACTTTTACAAGAAGACATAGGAGAAAACTCCTGTGACTTTAGGCCAGGTTGCTTAGATACTATAACTAAAGCATGATTCATAAGAAAAAAAGAACTGGTAAGTTGGAATTCATCAAAATAAAGCTTGCTCTTTGAAAGTCACTGTTAAGAGAATGAAAAGAAAAAACAGAACAAAAGGGAAATATCTGCAAATCACAAACAAAAGGGAAATATCTGCATATCTGATGAAGAACATATTTAACATATATAAAGAACATTGTGACATCACACACCTGACAATGGATGGGTCTGATCTCACAAAGGGGAGAAAAGAAAAAGAAAGAAGGAAAAAGGCTGAAAAATGAATAGAGTAAGATCTTAAAAGAAAAATAAAGAGGTTGCAAACAACAGGGTGTTTTAGGGAGAAAAGAAACTACTTCTTTCTTATGGACAGAAAGAGAAACTGAGTGTGTCTGGAATAGAATTACTATAAAGATGGAATCAATACATAGTGGAAGACTGACAGGATACTTAGAATTAACTCTTATGGCTTCACTATATTAACAAGAGATTTCATTCATTCATTCAGTTCACATTTCAGTGTTCCTAAATAAAGGACTTTAATATGACTGACCATCTGAATTAAGTTTTCTTTGATCAAGGCTGTTAATGAAATAAAACATATTATGTTTTTTTAAAAAAAAACCTGAACAAACTCAAGTTAAAAATACATTAATGACAAAGAAATACCAATACTACTTATTAAGGACTGTAACATATTTACAGAAATTTCATTACAAACTCTAACCGAGGCAGTAGATAATAACATCATAGGGGTATGAGGTACAAAAGGTGAAAGTTTGAGACCTTTAAGAATATGCCTTTGTTAAATTAACCTATTGGAATTTCTTCATGATGACCTTAAAAAGGAAGTGTAATACTAAAGTGTGTAAAACTTACTTGCACAGAAGTGATTGACATTTCTAAAAAAATAAAGAAGAAACAAGACAAATTCAAGTGGAAGTGGTAAGAGGTGATCCTATATATCTTATTTATTTATTCTGGTCAACCAACTAAATAAGTAGATGTTGCAAACTGAATGGCAAGATTGCAAAGAAACCAAAAAACTGGTCTGTGTCCATTTACTTGGGTACTATGGACTCATTTGGGTAAATTAAAGAAATAAAGAAATGACTTTTTTGTACATACTGGGCTGTAATATTTCCACCTTGGACTCGCCTACAGTTTTCAGGTCATGAGAAATGTATCTTAATTTATCCTTACTTCTAAGAAATTACTACTATAGGGAAAGCCCAAAGGCTGCAGATGAACTTGAGCATTTAGACATATCTGAACTTCTCATGAAAAATTTATTTTGAGAAGCTTTGTAAGTACTCTATGCTCAAAAAGAAAAGTTGAGCTACTTTAACAGCCTTTAGAAGCTGAGATGTTTTGTGAGTTTTTTTTTTTAAACCTTAATAAGTAGAGTATGATGTGGAATGATCTCTGTATCATTTGAAAATAGGTATCCAATGCAGTCAGAGTGACTACAGTCTCTCATTTTGCATTTTAGGTAAAAGACTGAAATTTTTTTTTATAAAACTCATGTTCAAAAACACCAAGAGCAGTGGTATCATAACATATTAAAGATGGTTATTTTTTTGGGATCCCTGGGTGGCGCAGCGGTTTGGCGCCTGCCTTTGGCCCAGGGCGTGATCCTGGAGACCCGGGATCGAATCCCACATCGGGCTTCCGGTGCATGGAGCCTGCTTCTCCCTCTGCCTGTGTCTCTGCCTCTCTCTCTCTCTCTCTGTGTGACTATCATAAATAAATAAAAAAATTAAAAAAAATTAAAAAAAAAAGATGGTTATTTTTTGGTTGTTGAAACAGTTTGTCCTCACTGGTCCAGAGAACTTTATATATATATATATATATACTCATTAGCATAAAGTCATTGAGTATATATACTCCTTAGGGGCAATGACTGCATTATCAACTATTCTAAAAAATTTCACTTTTCTAGAGAATGAACTGAGAACTCTCCTGGCAGATGTAATAAGAACAAAAACTGGAAAGACCTTGGATGTATGTTTGTATCCTATGAATGGCACAACAGGAAAGCCTGGAAAGAAAAGTAGATTAGGGAACAGAGGAACTGTGTTCTGGAACTGGGTCTGCCACTTAGTACCCACAGTGACTTGAAACAAATCTCAGCCCTGAAGATCTTGTTTTGCCATAGGTAAGACAGGGATCAGGATACTGGTCTGCAGGGAAATGGTGGGAATCAGATGTGATAATGTGAGCATGCCCCAAAGTGATACAAGGCTATAGATAGTTACATCATCATCAGTGGATTTTCTCTCAGAAAAATGTTTAAGCTTCCAACAAGATGTTATTTTAACAAGAAGCCTGACCATACTAAATATAATTTAAAAAGTAAATACCCCAGTAGCCTGGGAACCTTTGGTCTTGGTCTGTGCACTGACGCAGACATGTCCTGTGAAATTTATGCAAGGCCTTTCCCCTTAGTTTTCTTGACTAGAAAACAGATGGGATATATAATTTCTAAGGAATCTTGTTAGGTCATGATTCTGTGACTCTTTAAAACACCATTTAAAAATCATGTTTGTCTTTCATCTGTAGAATTAAACATTATCTTGTGAGACAATGCATGAGTTTATTTGATAATTTCTGTAAGTTAGATTGTCAATGCATCAGAAGTTTTGAACTGATCATGATCTCAGGGTTATGAGTTGAGCCCCGAGTCAGACTTCACACTCAGCAGGCAGTCTGCTTGGGATTCTCTTCCCCTCTTCCTCTGCACCCCCACCCACCTATGTGTGCATATGCAAGAGCCCTTTCTCTCTCAAATAAATGAATAAATCAAATCTTTAAAAAAAAAAATAGGGCAGCCTGGGTGGCTCAGTGGCTTAGCACCACCTTCAGTCCCGGGTGTGGTCCTGGAGACCCGGATCGAGTCCCATGTCAGGCTCCCTGCATGGAATGGAGCCTGCTTCTCCCTCTGCCTGTGTCTGTGCCTCTCTCTCTCACTCTCTCTCTTTCTGTCTCTCATGAATAGATAAAATTAAAAAAAAAGTAAAATGTTACTCAAAAATAAAAGACAAAACAGGCCCACAAAACCAAAAAATTTAGTGTGATATTTTAATTTTATTTACTATCATTTCTTGTAACTTATATATATCTTCAATGTCCAACCATTAAAATATTCTCCTTAATCTAGCTTACCTCTTTCAAAATCAGGGATCTAAAATTTAACTTTTGGTTGGAATGTCTTAAAAAGAGAAATGAAGAAATCATCCTTTAAAAAAAAAAACAAAAACCCAAACCCAACTATTTATCACCACAAATTATTTAGGAGGAGAAGTTGCTTACTGTGTCATGGACTCTGAGCCCAGTCTGAAATCCTGGGACTTGTCCTTAATGACTGGCTGCTGTGAAAGAAGAACAACAATTGGTGAGTCAAGACTTGGAGAAGATAATGCAGGCAATAGTCACAACTTGCTGAATGAGGAGAGAACATGTCTGTTCTGAACATGAATGTCTATCAGAAACATGTATTTACTCCTATGGAAAACCAACTGGTTCTTCACATCATCTGAGCACTTATACCTAAAGTCAGTTTTCAGGTATGTGGCAAAAAAAAAAAGTCAGGTGTGAATCAGTCTAAATTAATCTAGACATACTATGTGGGAGATCGCTTAAGTTCTAAATTTATCTTTCAACACTGCAGCTTTTCTTCCTCATTTTTTCAGTATACTTTATATTTTCACAGTGATGATATCATGCAACTGTTTATATTTTCACAGTGATGTTATCATGTAAATTTTGATCTGAAAACAGTCTTCTACAAAATTTGTTCAGGATATATTTTATTAATGGCACCTTCCTGGGGAAAACAAATTAATAAGCACTTCCAGTGGTGCCAGATTATACTGAGCGTCGTGTTAGATGGTTCATCAGGAATTCAAGCATTAACTCCAGATGAAAGTATACGGTGGGAAAATGGAGTCTAATATGAGATAGTCTTTAATAAATCAGCCCAATGTTGCTATAAAATTGACTACAATTTTTTTTTTAAGATAGTTACATGTTATGGAAAGATTCCTTTAAAATTCACATAGAAGGACGCCTGAGTGGCTCAGTAGTTAAGCGTCTGTCTGCCTTCGGCCCAGGGCACATCGCGCTCCCTGCATGGAGCCTGCTTCTCCCTATGCCTTTGCCTGTCTCTGCCTCTCTGTGTATCTCTCATGAATAAATAAAATCTTAAAAAAATAAATAAAATTCACATAGAAAATATACATTGTTCCTATGTTAAAGTTTTGAGTTATATACAAACGAAAGGGATATACCATATCTATTTAATTACTTAAATTAAAAAAAATCCCAAAAAAAACCAAAATGAAAGAAAAGGAGTACAACCTTTTCTTTCAGGGTTAAGTTGTCTGAGCGACTACTGCTTTCCAAGCCTTATCTTTCCCGAAGTTTATTTCACTTTGTAGATTTCCTCCTTCACAATCAGATTTCTGCAAGATTTGCACTGAATATCTTAAAACAGGTATTACTTATCATCACAAAGATTTCAAGAGGATATTGTTTTCTGGATCATAATTATATCATATTATTGCTATCTCTATAGCTGTAAATCCAGCACAGGATAAAAACAAGAATAAAAGAACAAGAAGACTTTGTGGTGAAAGGTGGATGTTGTAGCAAGTGACTCAATTTCACAAAACAACAAAAGAATCAGTAACACCTTGATTTTTCTCTACAGGTGAAGATGATCGGACTCAGTTAAAATGTGGGGAAAAAATACACACGAAAAATTCAATTTAAGGACTAATTCAGACTACAAACAGTCTATCTGCCCTCAACTTGACAGAGTAAGAAGTAAAGAAAGCCATCAAAATCTAAACTCAGCATCAATTATAACTGAATTTCTTTAGTTTTGCCCTAGACTTATGAAATAAATTCCAAACACAGCAAATTAATTTGATACTAATTTTATTTGTTTATATGGTCTAATAAGTATTACTTCTATCTCTTTGCCCATGGCAAGGCCAGTATCTTATCATAAATGTATGTATAATGTGTGAAACTTTGTAAAACTCTGGATTAAAAAAAAAAAAAACCCTCAACATAACAGCTCTAATAAGAATTGGAACCTACTCCAAAGGTTGAGGGAAAAGAAGACAGATAATAATACATCACTGTTAAGTCAATGTTACTTTTAATTATTTGTGACCCTGACAAATGAGTAACAATGTATTGCCACGTGCAGGTCTTACCAAACCTGCTTTTAATAGACTGTTCATGTAAAATGGGTGCAGTCATGCCCTCAAAAAGTCTTAAGTGGGTTTAACACCGTCCCTGCTCTTTCCTACTGTATACTGTGTTACAGTGACTGGCACACCCAAGTCCTTTTTCATGGCTTGTGTTCAAATCCTATGAATCCCAAGTTAACAGGGTATCCACGTTACAAAGTTTTAATACTTATTTGTTAAAGGACACTTATTTAATTCGGACCAATATTCCACTTCTAAACACCTTTACTCACTCATTCCTTGGTCTCAGCAGCAGCACGTCATATGGGTAGTTACTCATGGAGGCAGAAGGAAGGGGGAAGAAGGAGGTGTCTCTGTGAGCTGTTTTGTTTCATTTTTTTCTTTTAACATAAAAGCCCCCCAAGGCTAGAACACAATCAGCCCGTAAGCACCACCCCCACCATCAACAAGGCCAAGGAGCACCACTACCCTTCTTTCCCTCCTGTCCACGCACACCTCTCAGTTTTTGTGACTCTGTTTCCTCTTCACGGATACCCTTGATTTGGAGAGGAGGGGATGAAGAGGGGAAGATGAGCAAATCAAAGGAGATGAATGAAAGGATCAGAATCCAGAGGCTCCTGCTTCCCAAACCCTCACAGCTTCTCCATGATGCTTTTACATTTAGATGCAGTGAGACTTAAACATGAAAGTAATGATTAATGGCATGATTTTAAGTGCCTCCACTTTCATGGAGATTTACAAAGAAAACAACTCATAAATAGTTCTGTAAAAGAGAAATGAGCCATGCAAACAACTCACCCAAAATTTTCTGTAAACTTGAAGAATGAATGTAAAATTAGGTAAATGTTCAAGCAATGTCTGTTGTAGCTAGCACACTGGTGAGCTTTAAATAAGGCAAATTTAAGATACAGTAGGACTCTATATTTACATGCTGTTTATAATACCTTCTGATAGTTCTCCGTTGCCCATATAATTAATATCTCTAATTTACTTATACTCACTTTAAGGAATTTAAAAAAAGAGGAAAACCACCACCCACCAGAGCTGGTGGTTAAGTTCCAGTCTTGGCTCTGTCATTAATTTTCTCTGTTAATGAGCACAGCCACTTAACTTCTCTTGGGATCTGTTTTTCACTTGAAAATGAACAAGACGGGGCTCAGAATAAAAGCATGAACTCTACGGTAGCACTGTTCTTGTATTTTACAAATGAGGAAATGGAGGCCCAGAGTCACCAAGCTTACAGAAGTAGCTTGAAGGGTACAGTTCTGTTTTCTTCAAACTGATTTAACAACAAAACTATTTTCTTTTTCAGAACAGTTTTGTTTGAGAGCCTTATATATAAACACCTAAATGTAGAATTACTCTAAGTGAAGCTAGGTTTGGTGGTCTAGCATACCCTGTCTTCCCAGCCCAACTCCCCAGAGCCCTAAAGAATAGGATTCTACAAAAGAGAGTTTATAGGCAACTGGACTAGACAAGCTCGCCTAGATTTCCTCTGTTGCTAAAACTCTGTTTCCAGGAGCACAATTTTACAACTTTATATATTCATATGTTTGCTGTTGATTCTTTGGTTTAGGATTCATTATTTGTAATTGATTATGTAAATTATGATGCATTTCCTTAAGGACAAAATATTTCCCTACATGAAGACACAGTTTTGAAACAAAACGCCGGGTGCCTGGGTGGCTCAGTGGTTGAGCGTCTGCCTTTGACTCGGATTATGATCTCGCAGTTCTGGGATTGAGTCCCACATCGGGCTCCCTGTGGGGAGCCTACTTCTCCCTCTGCCTATGTCTCTGCCTCTTTCTCTGTGTCTTTCATGAATAAATAGATGAAATCTTAAAAAAAAAAGAGGGATTGTGAGATTGGATTTAAAAAATATAAAACAAAATGCGAAGGTCTTCACCTTGGTTCATGATTTGTAGTTTTCAGTACTAATTAAAACAACAACAACAACAACAACAACAACAGATATTTATGAAACGCTACGCTGTAAGTGAGGCACTGTGCTACACATCCTGGGGTATAAGCTGAGTAGACTGTAAGAGTTTATAATATAATGGGGAAAGATGTGGATACAACCAACAAAGCAGAGAGGGACAAACATGATAAAGGTAAAAAAGGAAATGTGTGGAAATAAAGGAACAGAAGCCCTGAATTGTAATTTGAGGTTTTTTTTTTTTTTTTTTTTTTTTTTTTTAACTTGAGGTTTTTGAGAAGGATTCACAGAGGAGGGCAGCCCCGGTGGCTCAGGGGTTTAGTGCCGCCTTCAGCTCAGGGCCTGATCCTGGAGATTCGGGATCAAGTCCCATATCGGGCTCCCTGCTTCTCCCTCTGCCTGTATCTCTGCCTCTCTCTCTCTCTGTGTGTGTGTCTCTCATGAATAAATAAATAAAATCTTAAAAAAAAGTATTCACAGAGGATGGAGCATTTAGCAAGATCTTAAGAGATGAATTGCAATTCTGGTAATTGGAGAGGCACAAAAAACTCTACAGTTCAAGAAAACAGGGTGAGCAAAGGTTTGAAGAATGTCTGCAGGGCAGCCTACTCAGGAGGATGAGAAGATGAAAAGTAGGTCAGAATTCAATTCAATTTTCAAGGTGTGGGATCTAGATAAACATTTACGAGATTTGGACCTTATAGACAATGTTGAGCCAACTATGATTTCTGAGCCAGTAGGTCACATGACTTGATTTCTATTTTGGCAAAGTATCTCATCTCCAGTAGGCTGGGAACAGGTGGATCAAAGGTGGGAGAATGGAGGAGTGATGACTGCTAAAGGCAGGGACCAGGGGGCCATTTCATGCCAATATCCCTCCTGTTATCTCTCCTCTCTGTTCACTTTTTAAAAAAGCTGACATCTCTAATTACCTTCTGCCCTTTGTCCTTTCCATTCTCTATATTCCTCTGTTCCCATGTATTTAACCAGTGTGTTTAGGTTAATGACTTCCAAATCAATACCATGAAACCAGATCTCAAGTTTTCTTTAAAATGATTTGGCAATCGCCAGTTTTTAGCAAATTCTGTATACACATTTTTTTTTCTGAAAACTCACTTTGGTTTATCAAAACTACCTAGAAAGTCTGAGTTTTCAGCACATCTCTCCTGAGTTCCATAGATGCTCACAAGATATCTGCAATTGGCTGCCGCAAAGACGCTGTCAACTTTGTGAGTCTCCAATTGAAGTGTTGCTTATATTCTTATGCCCCAAGATGTTCACATCAGAAACCTAGATTCTTCTTTTATTTTCACATGGATTTAGTCACCAGGTCCTAGTTTCTCATTGTGTTTGGCTTGAATTATTGCTTCTCCTGCTCTTACTTCCTTTAGTGCTGCTTTTCCCCTGTTTTTTTCAGAGCTTCTGACGTCAGCTTGCTTTTGTTTTTTTGTTTTTTGTTTTTTTTTTTTCCTTTTTTGAGAGAGAGAGAGAACACGAGCTTGGGGGTGGGAGAGGAGAGGGAAAAAGAGAATCCTAAGTAGGTTCCACACCCAGCACAGAGCCCGATGGGCTTGGTCTCACAACTCAGATCATGACCTGAGCCAAAAGAGTTGGACGCTTACTGACTGAGCCACCCAGGCACCTCTAGAGTGAGCTTTTGAAACAATCAATTTGATCATGCTGTCTTCCATGCTTTAAATCCTCCGGTGGCTCCCTACTTCTTACAGGATAAAATCCAGCTTCTTAACATGCCATATAGGAACCTTCTTAATCCTGTCCACTTGTTCAGGTTCAGCACTTTCTATTTTTAAACTTTGCATCTCAAGCCCAAGCCATGATGAAATACTTGTGGTGGCCCCAGTACACCATGCCTTCGTATGGATCTGTTTGGCCTACCAGGAATGCCCTTCCTCCATGAAACTCAATTTAGAAATCAATTCTTGGAAAAGGTTTCTTGACCTCACCAAGCTTAGGTCAGGGACGATTTCTATTTGTTCTTCTTGCATTTCATGCAGAAGTCTATCATCCTCTTGTGCTGCAAAACCCCCTGATGTTTGACTGCCAGCTCTGTCAAGAGAAAAATCCCTAAAGGAGGAGGCAGATGATGGGCATATCAGATCAGATATTCCAGAAGGATATTTACATAAAAATTTCTAGTAGGCAATTAGAAATACACATTGGGGATTCAGGGAGCCCGAGTTATAGATATAGAATTTGATACATCTGAAATACCAAAGTATTATCTGCAACTATGGGGGTAGAAGAGATAATCTAGAAAAAATATGTTAAAGAAAAATATAAAACAACCACAAAAAAGATGCAGCAGCGTGTATGTTGGAAAAGGCTTGTATTACAGTGGCAGGCCGAGCCAGAGAAGGAGAAAGGGGCAGGAAGGGCAGTGTTACAAAAGGAAAGAGAAGCAGCTGGGAGACAGTGGTGGTAATGACCCACAAGTTTGGGGGTATTTCTTTACTTAGTCTATTAACAGCTGGGTTTGGTCCTTTCCTCCACTCTGCACTTTATCCCTTGTTCCTACCCGCACTGTGACCAGAGTCGACTTTCCAATTTTTCTGGTGAGCATTTCTGGCCACTTTAGGGCTTTTGCACACATGGTTTCTGGTGCCTCAAATGTATCCTCTTTATAAAAACTAACCATCTACCTCTCACCACATGGCCTCATACATACTCAGTGTCCTTTCCCTGCTCATATGCTTCCTTTCATGACTCACTAATTACAATGACTTTCACTCACTAGACTGTAACTTCTATAAGTGGAGGGGCTGTTTCTGTTTAATTTGCTCTTATACCATTCAGACAACACCCCACCACAGTGCCTGGGAAAACAGCAGGCATTCAACACACAGGTGTGAAATGAATAATGAAGATGTCAAAGGAGTGGAGGAATGAGGATGGAGCTCACTGATGGGGTGAGAGCTAGAAGAATGTGGGACGGCAAAATGACCAAAATTACAAGTAGGGGGATGCCTGGGTGGCTCAGCAATTGGGCGTCTGCCTTTGGCTTTCGGCATGATGCTGGAGTCCCGGGGATAGAGTCCCACATTGGGCTTCCTGCATGATGCCTGCTTTTCCTTCTGCCTATGTCTCTGCCTCTCTGTGTAACTCTCATGAATAAATAAGTAAAATCTTAACAAAACAAAACAAAACAAAATTACAAGTGGGGGGTCAACTATAGAAACGTGCTTCTTTCACTGAGATTTGAAAGCAGCTGGAGAAGGAAGGTGAAACTAACAGAAATACAGAGAAAGTAGAGATGAGAAGTATAGAAAATTCATGTCTAATGATTTCTCTTTCAAGAAGAAGAGACAGTCAGGGGCGCCTGGGTAGCTCAAGCAGTTGAGTGTCTGCCTCTGGCTCAGCGTGTGATCCTGGGGTCCTGGGATGGAGTCCTACATTTGGGCTCCCCGTGGGGAGCCTGCTTCTCCCTCTGCCTATGTCTCTGCCTTTCTGTGTCTCTCGTGGATAAATTAAAAAATATATATATATATCTTTTTTTTTTTTTTTTTTTAAAGAAGAGACAAAGTCAACTTGGGAGTAAGAAATTAGGGACTTGACAATATCTTTAAGAGGGTATGGGCACCTGAGTGGCTCAGTCAGTCAAGTGTCTGCCTTCATCTCAGGTCATGATCCCAGGGTCCTGGGATTGAGGCCCACATTGGGCTCCCTGCTCAGGGGGGAGCCTGCTCCACTCTCTTCCTCTGCCCCTTTCTCCTCCCATTCGTGCACATGTGCGCTCTCTTTCATTTTCTCAAAATAAATAAGTAAAATCTTTAAAAAGCGTGCTTAGTCACATGCTCCAAATACTATCCGTGTCCAGCATCAAACTGGTAAATAATTTCTGCTTCCATGCATTTATTTCCTGGTGGCCCAAGAGAGACCGGATTCAAGGAGAATGAAAAATGACTGCAGATAACAGGAAGGGCAGGAAGCATCAGAACACCATTTCCACTTCGCTTTCTTTAATTCCTGCAAACTACAGGATCACCTGGATCTTCCATCCCTTCTGGGACTGCACTGTTCCCTAGCGATGGGAGATTAAGGAAGGAAGCTGGAGAGACTGTCAAAGACCTAACCATTTTATGAAGGCCATCCCAGCCCCCTGTGCACTGCTGAATATCCAGTGCATGCAATGCCAGGCTGTGGGCTTTTATGGGGCTCAGGGTTGACGTGTGAGAGTCGTCGTCACCTCAGCACAGCTGCTCCTATTCGTCTACCTGCTTCTTCTGTTGCTCAACAAACATTCTTCGGCCACCTGCTTTGCACTAGATGCTGGCAATTCAATTCTGAACATGACATAGTCCCTGCCTTCAAGGAAGTTTGAGCCCTTTTATTTCCATCCAGTGAAGAAGAAAGAAATAGGAGAAAAAAGTCAGACACATGAGCTATGCTAGAAGTTGCAGGTTATATTTTTTTTCCTTTTAAACCAACTCCTTTTGCCTGAACTTTTCCTTTTTTTTTTTCCTTCTTCATCTTTATTATAAAGACTTAACAGGTTTTCTGAAACAGCTATGAACTTTTAAGTTTCAAAATGCAACTGATCCTCATTATTTGTGCATTGCCTGTTTGCAAATTCGCCTTCTCACACCACAGCTCTCATTTGTAATCCCAGATCGATACCTGTGGTGTTTTTTTACAGCTACTGCGCAGAGTGCTGAAAATCTGAACTGCCTGATGCACACAATCCTAGTTGAGATTGGAACACTAGAAACTTCTAATGCTTTGGCATGTTTCAAATGTTCTAAATAAATGCTGTATATAAGTATCCTTTCTGTGGCCTATTTATTGCTCTGGTTTTCACATTTTTGTGTTTTACTGGTGATTCTGTGGTTTAAAATGATCCCTAAGCAATGTGCTGAAGTATTGCCTAGTGTGACTACATGCAAGAAGGCTGATGTGCCTTAGATTAAATGTATGTGTCAACTGAGCTTCGTTTAGGCACAAGTTTGAGTACTGCTGGATAGGAGTTCAATTTTAATGAATCAACAATATATATTAAATAAAGTGTCCTTATACTTTATACTAGCTGATGAAAATGTTGTGACCAGAGGCTCACAGGAACCTAATCCTGTATTTTTCCTAGGAGCACTGGTTCACTAGTCACTAATTCAATGTTCATGGCGAATTCAGAGAACATAACTACTATGAACAATGAGAATCTACTCTGTGTTTTTCAGCATGGCTTCCAGGTATTCACCAAATCACTATTTTACTGTTTTTCACTGCTACTTTCTCTGTTCTTCTCAGATCCTGACAGATCTATGAAGTTTTTGGGAGTTCTCTCTCACTCAAATCACAAACATTTATTGAGAATATTCTATATGTAATGTACAAAGGTGAGGAAATTTGGAGGGAATAGAGTTACTGGGAAGTTGATTCCCATTGGTTCACATAGCTGTGCACAATGCTTTAGAAGCTGCTGTAGAGTCAGGTAAACTCAGACTTGATATCCAGCAATCAAGGGATCTAAAGTAGATATGTTATTCATCCAATGAGGCTGGAAGAGCATTCTCTAGCAAAATTCCGTAACTCTCATGTCTACGTGAGAGGCTTTCAGAAAATAAAGGGCTATCTCCTGAAGATTAGTACATTTAGGGTAGGATCTGGCACCAGGATAATTCTGAGGCCTAGCAGTTTGAGAAGTATTAATCAGGCACATATCAAATTGGCAATTTATTGGGGTAGGAGAGCAAAAGACTAATTTTTGACTTGGGTGAATGAAGCTGACTTAGTGAATACAGCTCAGTAGCCAATAAGCACAGACTGTTGCCATCGCCTCCCTCTCTTGTCTTCTTCCCTTTTTCTGGTTTGAATCTCAAATTCTTACCAGACCTACCCATCAAGGTTTCAGTTTCCGTCCTGATAAACAATACTAAACAGACACAGTGAGGCTGTATCTCATAATTTAGAGAGGTCAAATGTATGTACAAATAACTTGGCCCTGAGGCAGCAGATGCTAAGTGTAATAAGACACAAACAATATGCCATGAGATTTGGGGGGAAAAGACTTCTCTGACCAAGTGGAGGTTCTGGCCAGTCTGCAGTCTAAATGAATGATTCCTTATTCCTCATCATTTCAACATGTGTACATATGCATGTAAATCCATATTAGTTTAAACAAAATTGTTCAGTGAGGTTGCTTTTTAACTTCGCTCTTTACATCTTTTTAATAATCTACTACGTATACCTGAGCGAAGTTAAAAAGCAACCTCACTGAACAATTTCTAACATTACGTTCTAACAACATTTATAATGTAAAATTTATTAGTTATAATAGACTGAATATATGTGGTATTTGTGATAATTACAAAAGTTGTAACAGAAAATGTGACCCACATTACAAGATTGTTCATATGGGAAAATTCAATTTGAAATGTAATTTAGACTTATATTTGCCAGTGAATTTAAGGATAGGGCAATATCTGGCCTCATGATCTTGGCCTGGGCATGTTTTTCTACAGCTATCTTGGGAATAATACTGCTTTCTAGTCAGTGACTCTGCAAGTGGTATCACATGAGCAGAGAAGATTTTCTTACAAAAGAGATGTCAACCTCTGGAGGTTTATCAAGCATTCTATATTTTCTCTGTGTAAGACACAGCAGTATATAACGGAGGCTGCTACTTCAAGATATCCACAGTGATGGGGAAGCATAAATAGGAGTAAAAAGAAAGAAGAGGCTCATTAAGCCCAGAAAAGTTCTGCCTATAGAAGAGTGATAAAAGCAAATCTGTTCCAATGTGTGGTATTGTATGCAGGGTTTGTGTGGATAAAAGAGACTTTTAAATTAAAAAAAAGGGGGATCCCTGGGTGGCTCAGTGGTTTGGCGCCTGCCTTTGGCCCAGGGCGCGATCCTGGGGTCCTGCGATCAAGTCCCGCGTCGGGCTCCCGGCATGGAGCCTGCTTCTCCCTCCTCCTGTGTCTCTGCCTCTCTATGTCTATCATAAATAAATAAATCTTTAAAAAAAATTAAAAAAAGTTCATTCCTTTGTATGTTGACTAAAAGAGAACCGTGTTAAAATCAGAGAGCATTATGGCATTATTGAGACTCCT